GAATATGTATGCATTCTTGTGTTGATTGATCCCGCGTAGGATCTGCAGAAACCTCGTGTGCCCATGTGGGGTGTGAGCGATGATTTATAATTGATTGAGCCATTTTGCATGTGAAGTATCATGATATGCATTCTTGTGTTGATTGATCCCGCATAGGATCTGCAGAAACCTCGTGTGCCCATGTGGGGTGTGAGCAATGGTTTATAATTGATTCCGCGTAGAATCTGCAGAACGATTATGTGCCCATGTGGGGTGTGAGCAATCCTGAAACATTGCGTGTCCATGTGGGGTGTGAGCGATGGGTGAACAACGTAGGCCCGACGGGGAGTTACTTCGGTAACGAGCGATGGTTCCATTTGGTTCTTCAATTGAACCTGCTGAATGAGTCGGTACCGCATTTGCATCTGCATAGAGTCGTGAGTCAGTCTCTATGAGTTGCATTTATCATCTGTATAATTGATATTTGTGAATAAACATAATTGTAAATGTTTATGTGAAAATTATGTGAATTGTAGAAGCATGATTGATGAATATGCTTAGTTGTGTGCATAGATATGCATTGTGATGTACATGATGAATTGTGAATAATGCCTGCGAATATAATAGTAAATATATATGCACTGATTGGTAAATGTGAGAATGATGTAGATAATAATGTATATGTGAACGATTCGTACTCACTAGGGTAGAATGGCAAGGTGTCGTTCCTAGTGGAGTAAGCACTGGGGGAGAATAACAAGATGTTATTCCTGGTAGGGTATAAGTGACGTACCCATAATCCTGAAAGGGGATTGGTGCTTAATTGATGAGTTTTATATGAGTCACATGGCATGGTTACGAGTGTTATATCAAATATGCATGTGTGTATGAATCGTTGAATTGTGGGTTGCGAATGAGTAATTGTGAAAGATATTGACTAATGAATTGATGAGAAAACATGATTGGATAAGTTTATACAAATTGTAGAAACTTAAACATAGGGTGTATGCTTGTGTGAATTGATTGAGGAATCATGAATGTATGCATGATAAAATGCTTGGTTTTATACTTATATACATTGTGATGTATGTTAGTGGATTGTGAAGTATTGTGGCGAGAAGTGTAATATGTGTATTTGATGCTATGGAAATCTATTATATGCATTATTATTGTGTTAATATGCATTGTGGTGAGAAAATGTGAAATATATGTATTCTGTACTTGTGCATTTATATATGATTATGTTCTTTGATTATTATGGTAATATTTCTCACCCTTCTGCTGGAATGATGTCCTATATGACATCGTGCAGGTATCTTGGAGTTGTACTGCTAGTAGTTGCGAGGTCTCTGTTGGTGCAGTTGTTTAGTATTTTAATTATGTTGGGTCGAGTCATGCTTTGGTTATGTAACACTAGGATCGTTGGGTTTATGCCTTAGAGATATATTATGTATTCTAAGTTGTGTTTTAAATGTATTTGAAATATTATGATAATGGCGTCTGTGCCTAAGTGTTGATGATTATGTGATGAACATGAATATTCTGTGAAGAGATTTATGTAAATAAATTGAATCCGCTGCTACATGCAAGATGAAAATTTAATGGCATGACTATTTATTTCAATGTTACATGAGTATGACAGGTGAATGTTGAGATTTGTAAATTGTGTGACGCCCTTTTGTGAAAGCATGTTAATTTACTCTGATTAATTATGTATTTTTATGTGGGGTTAGAAGGGTGTTACACTCTCATTGAAGCTTGCAGAGGCAATTTAAACTTCTCTGAAGTATGTGATCTGACTGAGGTTTTAGAAGATGGATTGCAATCAGCTTTGAAGAGTTGGAAATTTCTCGGATGAAGGAAGCTAAGAAGAACTTCAATGTCATACTCTTTGGTATAGTTGAACCTCTACTTCAGAAGGTTCCATCCACTCTTCTTCTCCTAGCACCAGAAGTGATTCCCCCTTCGTCCCCAAGTCAGACTTCTTTAGCTCTTGCCAAGACTTTTGTGGAAGCTGTAAGTGTTTTTGGAACCAAAGAGACCTTGGGTTCTGGAGATTTTGTTCTTAAGAAGTTGGAGTTTCTGGCTGCAGAGAATTTAGAAGTGAAGGAAAGGACATCAAAGATCGAAGGTTTGCTTGCAGAGATTCTTTCTAGACTTCCCAAAAACCATCTTGAACCTTTTTTTTTATAAAAAAATATTGTGTTATCTTTGTTTTATTCTTATGTTTCCTTCTTCTATGTACTCGCTCATCTTTCTGATTAATGAAATTAAAATTTTTCTTTGGTTTATTTACTTTAACTTTATTCTTTTTTATTGATGACAAAGGGGGAGAAAGCGTGTAATGATTTTGATATATCTATTTCCCACTGTGTAAACCCAAACATGATTCTAACTGTCTAACTTGGTAATCTTTTGAGAACTTTGAAAAAGTTCATCATTCTGACTAAGTGTTTCAGGTTATAAAGCATCAAATCATACGCATACAAGTTCTGAAATATGTACTCTGGACAAGACAAAATCAGTAATCTATTTTGCTAAGTTTTGATACTCATGACCTTGCTCTGAAACCACTTGTAACAATGAAATGCTCAAATACTTGATATCAAAAAGCTCTGATTGTTTTACTAAGCTCTGATCTGAAGAGAAAGTTATAACAACATGGCTTATGCCAAACAGGGAAGTTATCTCTTTCGTGTTGATGTAAAATGTTTATATGTGTTAAAAGTTTTTAAGTCTTAAATTCAGGGGGAGCTTACAAACCTAACTCTGACATTATAAGATTTAGAATAACTTTTTAACAATATAAAATTCAGGAGGAGCTTACAAACCTCACTCTGATAATTTTATGTGATTAAACCATACAGAAAGTGTTCATCAAAATACATGATTTTGTCATCATCAAAAAGGGGGAGATTGTTAGACCAAGATTTGATTCTGCATCTAGCCTTTAGTTTTGATGATAATAATGCATTGACTCTTAAAGAACAATTATGTATATTTATGGTTTATATCATGTCTGTAGCTTTTGTTATACAAGTTTTGAATCTAAAGCTTAGACGAGTGACGTCATCAGATTATAAATCAACACACTCTGACTCTGAAGAGAAACAAGTGCTTTACAAGAAGTAGTCAAGAACTAGAAAGTGGTTAGACAACGGTTCTGAAGAACGTTCATGCTAAAGCCTATGATCGTGACTCTGATTAAAGAGCCTTTGAAGGTTTTGTTTTCTTCAAAGGCTCTGTGCTCAAGATTTGAAGATTCTGAAGAACGAAGTGTTGAAGACTCTGAAGACCTGGTTTTGAGGAACAGTGTCAAGACTCTGAAGACTTTAGTTCTGAAGATTCTCAACAAGGCCCTTGATTCTTCTAACCATGTTTCAACAACTACATTCAAAAGTCTTTGATGATTAGAAGATGATAAGAACAAATCGTTACGTGAGATAAATAGTACGCAGTACAAGATCAAAATATTTCTTCCACTATGCAAATTTTGTGGAGTAAGGACATTTATGATGTACGATTTTATCTTCCTTCAACGGATCTTTCTTTGGTTGTATAGAGAAGACTTGATAGAATGGATCATGCTGCCAATTTGTAAACAATATCCACACACTACTGCATTTTCTCTTATAATATTATTTTTGTGAATAGTGTAAACACACTTAGAACTTTTGTTCATATCGTGCATATCGTGTAAATCTCTCACTGTACTTAAACGTTGTGTTAATCTGCTTTGTGAAAGCAATCTAAGCAATCTTTGCAAACATAGTTTGTACTTAAACGTTGTGTTAATCTGCTTTGTGAAAGCAATCTAAGCAATCTTTGCAAACATAGTTTGTAAAATCTCAAATCTATTTGAGTGATTATCTTGAATGGCTAGGATTTAGTCCGTAAACTCAAGAAGACAAAGACATTTGTCTTTGTGGTGTCTAATTTGTTTGATTATAATATATTAAAATCTTATGGATAAGGCAAAATCACTTAGTATGATGGATTGGAGTGAATTTCGTTAACAACAAACCAAGGATAAAATTTTATTGTTTGTTCTTTTGTGCGTTGGATTAATTTTGAAAAGGCTTTAATTTTTAGATCTTTTGTGCGTTGGATTAATTTTTAAAAATCCAATTCAAACATCCATTTTTTTTTCTTGCATTTGTGAGGTTAAAGATACTTCTCATTCAATATATTAATAATCATAAAATTTTGTTAAAAATGTCAGAAACTTAGTTTAAAAACAAAAGCATTTAAAAAAACTCCATTGTCTACTGAATTTTATAAAAATTCAAAAAAATCAGTACGTTTACCAAAAATTTCAATATAACTTACACTTAGTAGTTAGTATAGGTTATTCGGCATTTTTTTAAAAATGTAATAGTATCAAAGACAATTTTTGGTAAAAAAAAATCATGGTCCTGCAGAGTTTATTAAAAAATCCTATATAAATGCATTAAATATTTGAAAATGTTGGTATTTCTTCATATATTTTTCAGAAAACTGTGAATTTTTATTTAATTTTTGCAATTATTTGATATTTCCTCCTAGATATTGATTCACCGGTATTTATAGCAAAAATGTGATATAAACTCGTGTAAAATCCCACAAAACTAAACAAACAATCCAATAATACACGACACTCTTCAAAAAAAAAAGGAAAAATTTAAGCTAACATAGATAAAAACAGTTTCAAGAGGTGCCGGATATGAGTAACCTCATTTCTAAAACATTCAACTCTCACTTATTTGGGTCACAGCCTAAAACTTATAGTGAGAAGGTTATACAATATGAGAACATTAATAAAGCAACTAACACATAACCAAAGACAGTTCAAGTAATAGAAAGCATGCAAAAGGATTCACACAACACAATTTTGCTCCACGGGAATATCTAATCAGTAACTAGGAAATCTTCCAAAATAAGTTTGGACAACAAAATACAGGAATGGTTCAACAAATAAATTATCAAAGCAAAAATTTCAAAAACTCTACTTGAGCTATCCGAAAAACCAACACACCAAGTGTTCAGCGCTTTCCGCCTCCACCACCAAGCTTAGGACCTTTTGATGCAGCACCCTTGGTAACATTCCCTTTTCCTACAGACTTCTGTGCCTTAGCTTGACTTTCCGCCTTCTTTGCCTTCTTTTCATCCTTAGTTTTCTTCACTCTCTCCTTAATTTCACTGCAAAAAAAAAAACATGATGACTTCTGTTAGTGAGAAATGGTAACAACTTTCATATGCAAATACCAATAGTACAAGTAATGAGATGGCAGATAAGCAGAAATGATGTTTAGTAATGAAACTTGCATTGTATACACTAATTGCAACAAAAAAAAGAAAACACACCGAAGAGCAGCTTCTCTGGCAGCATCGCGAACCTCGGGCTTCTCTGATCTTTTCTTCTGAATAACTTCCAAAGTAGCACCAACAATAGACCTTGAGTAAGGCTTTTTGGTAGCTCTACGCCTCTTCTTCGCAGCTTCTTGGGCTATGTCCTGAACATCACAAGTACACAAATAAATATCCACATGTATACAACCAAAACACATCCATAATAAAACACATCATGACTTCAAATCGCATCAAACTAACCGATAGCAAAATGGCACAGTAATATACCAGAACCATTAATTCACAGAAACACTTTATCCAAAATAATTTCAAGCATTAAAATTCACCTTCTTATGTTGCTTCCGGTACATGGCAGTCCAGGTAAGCTTTGACGGCTTCAACTTGTTATGGAAGTACCTTTTGCATTTCGAATTAACGAAAAGGAAAACCTAATAATAAAACAAACAGAAAACCCATTAAATAAACAATCAACCAAAATGAAATTCAGAACACAACAATAAACTTTAAACTCAGACACATTCTTATCACCTGTGAATCACTACGGATAAATCTAATTCCTCTCCCAGGATAGATCTTGGCACCACTAAAACGGCACAGCTCGGTCCTAACACACCAGTATCAATAACCCATTAGTGTAAACCCCAAGCAGAAAAAAATTCAAATTCAAGACATTAGAGTAAATCTATTAGGGTAACCTAATCCATTTGCAATACAAAATATTAATATTAACGGCAGAAAAAAATCGATTGAAACATTATTGAATGGGAACATGGACAAATGAATAGAATCAAAACATCATGAGAAAGATGAATGAATCAAAACGTGAAGAGAAACATACTTGAGAACCATTTTGTTGATGCTTCTGCTGTTGCCTGCCTTCTCTTGTGCCAGAAACTCTAGGTTAAAATGTTAGTCGATAGCTTTATATAGTTCATTAGGTTTTCGGGTGTGCATTCTCTTTTTTGTCCTTCACAAAAACCTAATTTTATTTTGGTCATTCTTATTTTGTTTTAGTTCTTCAAAATTATTTTTTATTAGGATTTAATACAAATTAATTTTACAAAAATTAAAATAAAACAACAAATACTAAAACCATGAAAGTAAATAATTGAAAAATAAGAAGATGAGAGAAGAGAAATAACACAGAAGAATTATACAGGTTCGATCAAGAAGATTTTTTGAGAGTATTCATTATACTTGAGAACTTTTAGAAGGTTGTGCTTGTTAACCCCTTAATACAAGGAAATGAACTTGCATGCTAACTTCTAACCAAACAACGAACACGACTTGAAGCGATTAGTCTTCACACCAAATAAAGATTTTGCACAGGTTGACCAACCAACATAGAGTTTTGAGTTAACTATCATCCAAACTAAACTGGGGTTTTGTACAGGCTAATCACAAACCAAAAAGTAATTTTAAGTTAGTTATCCTCTTAATCAAACCGAGATTTATACCAGGGTGATCTCAAACATATTGAGATTTTTATATCGGGCTGAACTCGAAAACCAAGTGAGATTTCACACCAGGTTAATCTTGAACTAATAGAGCATTTAATCAGACTGAACTCAGAAACCAAGTGAAATTTCACACCAGGCTGATCTCGAATTAATAGAGCGTTTAATCGGGACAAACTCAAGAACCGTTGTGTAAATTTTTAGCGGTTGACCTTCACGGACTAAAAGAGAGATTTTTCAATGGCAAAGCTCACGAACCAAACGTAAACTAGCCCAATCCCCAAATTTCAAATAAGAGCTTTTAAACGGTCTAGCTCCCAACCAACATACTGAATTCCTAAGGAAGGGTTATTTTTATTTTTTTGGAATAAGGAAAGATTATTTACTTAATAGAAAAATCTACTTTTGGTAAATTTATAATTTTGCTCTAACCTAAAACAATTTATCTCACTAGACTCAAGAGCACTCTCAAAGCACTATGGTTAAAATATGTAAAAAACATGAGAGATTTAGAGAAGTGGTGAGTAAAAAAAGAAAGGTGACATTGTTCACGTTTTAGAGAAGTGGTGAGTAAAAAAAGAAAGGTGACATAGTTAGAAAGATCTTCTTTCATTATAGCTTTTAGGCAATATTTGATCAGTCTCACATCTGAATATTTCTGGTTAAACCAAGGATTTTATGCACTTTTATTAATTTGCTATAAAACTCATAGCCTGTTATGAGTTTAGGATCCCAAACTTTTGTCAAAATTTTCATTCCTAATTTCTACGTATTTTTTGTTATGTTTTTCTATGTAACTCAAGTATCCAAGGGAGCAATTGTGGAACAAGATTTATTCATAATTCATGTTTTATTGTTCATTCTTTCTCTAATGTTCATTAATTGATATGAGTTTGATGATGAATATTGTAACACCTCATTCTAACCCACCGGATAATTAGGCAAAACAACAATCAGAGTGCACAAAAACAAGTATCATGACAGTCGTAAGGAACTGACACGACCGTGGTGGTCATGACGACCGTCATGAATGTCACGATCGTAACGGTCATGACGAGCGTCATAGAGTGGTGACGACCGTCACACTCACAAATTCTGGGACGCATCAGAGGTGTCACATTTTCACCTTAATAGATAACATACACCTGCAGCAAAACATTTAATAACATACATAGCACAGATCCAGATGAACAAATAACGACAACTTGTTTAACATCTTAATTACAAGACAACTTGTTATTTTGCAGCGGAATTTAATATACTTCCAACATTTATAATAACCAAAGCAAGACTAGAAAAGTCTGCAACTAAATTCCATTAAAATTCAGCAAGTAATTACCTTGCATCAATTCACAAAACAACTAGTTCTCGACCACAAAATCAGTCCTACCGATTCATCGGTCTAGTGCGTATAACCAACATTTGGCACTATCAGAAGCAATCAATTTGAAGAAAAGTATTTAATAAAAATTCAGCAACCAAGAAAACAATTAAAAGTAATAACATCAATCGTTCATCCCCCCAAGAGTGCTACATATCAGAGCGGCCAACGACCTTAAACGAACAACGACACTCTATTCCGAGTTACCTGCAAATTACCACCAACGGAGGTAACATACAACGTAAAGGGTGAGATATCAAAATTATAACACAAGGCATGATAAAAGTCATGTTAGGATTATATCACAGCAACTGAGATTCTTGCAGTTTTCCAAATAATATCGACAACCAATATCAGGAACTTATCGTTCATATTCACAATAATTAACAATCAAATTCAGCAACCCATCTTCACTTACAGCCACATAACGACGTGATATTATGCGACTCAACTATGCATATGCATGTGGTACCAATTTGGAGCAGCACTCCACAACCAATTTAATTGTCATTACTGGCCGCCAATACAGGCACAACCAACGCCAATACAGGCTAACCAGGATGATATGCTATGAGATGCAGCTATTATGGACTACAACACAACCACCACAACCACGCAACAAGGCATTAAGCCTACAACCAAATTGTCCATAACCGAATCATCACAATTTCATACGGATCACGTAACCACAACTTTCAACATAATATAATCAAACGAGGACACCATAACAACCCTCCTAACAAATGGGAAATTAGCGCGTGTCGGCGCCGTTTCCCAATATTATTACATAGAACTAATGACATAAAACACTAATTCAGGCACAGACAAACATTAACCCTTAATATTTCTCAACCTACGGGAATTAACCCCATGATTCAATTCCCTTCATGAAATTGATCATACCCATAGTTATAGAATTGAACCCCACCCTTACTTTTAGATTGAGGAGAACTCTAAACTCTCGGTTCCGATTTGCTCTCTGGTGACTCTTCTGCAACTACCTTGAATTCTCTCCGGCGGTTAATTCCTCTGTTCTCAATTTCCCTTCTCCTCCACCTTTCTCCTTAATTTTGGTTCTGAGCAGTTTATCGTGTTTTTCCTCCTTCCCCCCACAACTTGTTTAATAAATCCCCTATTTCACTTATTCCATCCACTAATATTACAATTAATAATAATAATAATAATAATAATAATAATAATATCAATAATAATGATAATAGTGATAATAATAATAATAATAATAATAATAATAATAATAATAATATTACTGCTAATTATTAAATTATCATCATTATTAATTATATCATATTATTATTAAACTCTATATTTTAATAAATGATTTCCTATAATTTAAGGACACCCACCAACGCTCTCAGACACACTCCCACATAAAGGCACGCCAACAATTCATAAATAATTTAATTTAAAATGAACGGGCGTTACAACTCCCCCAAACTTAAAAGAATTTCGTCCTCGAAATTACCTCGATCAAACAGCTCGGGGTAAGACTCTCGCATCTTGCTTTCCAGTTCCCACGTCAAACTTTCGCCAGCAGCTCCCAACCAGACCACTTTCACCAAAGCAATCTCTTTTTCTCTTAACGTCTTCACCTCCCGATCATCAATTCTTACTGGCATCGTCTTCACCGTAAGATTATCACGTACTTGCACATCGTCCATAGGAATGACTTGCGACGGATCTGAGATATACTTTCGGAGCTGTGACACATGAAATACATCGTGCAGATTCGACAAATTAGGCGGCAACGCCACTCGATATGCAACTTTTCCAACTCTGTCCGAGATCTGATACGGACCAATGAAACGAGGGGTAAGCTTCTTAGGTTTCAAAGCTCTACCAACACCAGTCACAGGCGTGACTCTCGAGAATACATGATCCCCAGCTTCAAATTCTAACTCCTTTCTGCGCTTATCATGATAACTTTTCTGCCTACTCTGTGAAGCTTTCATCTTTTCTCGAATTAACTTCACCTTCTCCGTCGTCTCCCGAACAATTTTCGGTTCAAGTACCACACTCTCCCCGGATTCATACCAACACAACAGAGTCCTACATCTCTGACCATACAAAGCTTCGAACAGTGTCATTTCGATACTAGAGTGGTAATTGTTATTATAATTAAACTCTATCAACGGAAGATAGGTATCTCACGAACCACCTTCCTCCAGAACACATGCCCTCAGCAAATCTTCTAAAGACTGAATAGTCTGTTCGGTCTAACCATCGGTCTGAGGATGGTATGCTGAACTCAACCTCAACTTGGAACCCAAAGCCTCTTGTAGACTCTTCGAAAACTCAGAAGTAAACCTCAGATCTCTATCCGACACAATACACAACGGAACACTATGCAACTTAAAAACCACTCGAACGTAAATCTCTGTCAACTTCGACACCGGAAAAGTGATGTTAATAGGAATAAAGTGAGCTGACTTTGTAAGCCTATCAACAATCACCCAAATAGAATCACATCCTCTCAAAGTGTTCGGCAAACCCATTACAAAATCCATCGAATTGTTGTCCCATTTCCATTCTGGAATCTCTAACGGTTGCATAAACCCAGCAGGTTTCTGGTGCTCAACTTTCGACTTCTGACAAGTCAAACATGCGTAAACAAATCGTGCCACATCACGCTTCATACCAGGCCACCAAAACAGATTCTTCAAATAATTATACATTTTCGTCGCTCCTAGATGAATGCTCAACTTACTCCTGTGACCCTCTTCCAGAATCACTTTCTTCATATTTGCACTATCAGGAATACAAATATGACCACAGAACTTCAACATACCTTACGCATCCAACTGGTAATCACTATTTTCCGAATGATCCATCCCGGGCATTAAATCTACCAACTTCACATCTAATTTCTGAGCTTCTCTAATGTTGTCCAGAAAGTCATTATTAATCTTTAACATGCCCAACTTTACACTCTTCGGTGTCACTTCGCAAACTAAACTCAGATCTCTGAATTGCTCAATCAATTCCAACTCTCT